CGGAAAGGTGAGTTGTAAACTAGCTGCCATATCCGATTGATTTCCTAATATAAAGATTTAAAAACAAAAGCTGTGTCGTGGTTTTCTTTAGTTATTGGACAAAACGTGCCGAGTCGCCAACTGGCGACCAGTTCTGAAAATTTAGTCGCCAGTGCTCAATTGTTGGTCGCACTGGCGACCAGTGAGTCGCAATTTCGAGCCCTGAAGTCTCATTCAATCTCAAGGTAGTCTTTCTCAAGTTATTTTTAGAAATGGTATCCAGGTCACGTGGATGACTTCGTGGAGGATCAAAATGCGTGTTGAGCCGCTTGGGCTGTCCACGTGAGCAAATTCGGCTTCACAGGGTTGGTTATATCCAGACCCTCCCGGGATTTCCGAAACTGGGAGTGATCTAAAAATAACTTGAGAGAGATTACCTTGGGAATAAAGCTCAACTCTCTAACCTTTCATCCCCTCTTGTTGTTACCTGGTTATCTAAGTTGTGTGCAGGATTATATGCAGTAACACAAATGATGAATTTGACCAAGAAAAAAATATTATCGCCATCAAATAATGAAAGAACAGATTTTCGGTTGAGAGTCTTGTTCAAATATTGTACAACGCAGTTCCACCATACATTATTACACGAAGTAATGGCTGATAGGTAAGACAAAGGAAACTGGGATAAAGATCCCACTACAAGCATGAATTGAAGTGTTTTCACTGCACAAATTGGTGTTCTAAAACTATAGGAAAGTTTTGCGGCTGTGACGTCGTGTGAAAATGCTCTGTACTAACTTTGAGTAAGATTTCCAGAGGTGAATAAAAGAATCTGACCCGCTGATTTGTAAAAAACTTGGCTTAAGACAGTGCACTTGCATAGAACACCAAGTTGCGGGTGTCAAGCGAAACAACGTTTCAGTGCCATACCAGCAAACCTCCAAGTCATTTGGAGGGCAACTGGGTTTTGACTGCAGCATTCTTAAGACATGAACGCTACCCCAACATTGTTCACATACCTGGCTAAGTTTTCAAGAAATGGTTTTCAAGAAGTTCAAAACTCAGTAACAATTCAAAATTACTTTTATCACTGAAGTCATGGCTTCGAAATTAGTTTGAGCTTAGTTTCACTGCTGGCTTCAGAATTACTTTGTCCAGACTCGCTCAAGATTGAAACTTTGCCGAGGTTGATATTGTTACACTGTACAAACTAACAGACAAACAGAAAGACAGACAGACAGACATTCAGACAGTCACACCTTGATCATTTTCTTACACGATCGTCTCAGTTTGTAATCCAGCTCAGGGTCTTGCATCTCTTCCTCCTGAAATGAAAAGGAACGCAAACAAGGACTGTTATTACATTCAGCCGCTCGACAAAGAATCAGTGACACTTGAAATGGTAGGATTTGTAGTGGCCAGACATTTAGCATCTGGATTGAGAGGTACAGGTACAGTCTGCATTCTAGCCTAGTGGCTCCAGATTCTTCCAGATTCTGTAGCATGAAGGGACTAGTAATACTGATGCTCCCACGCAAGACCACTGCAGGGTTACCTCCAACACGGAATTTGCCAGCACCCATTTACACACCTGATTGAAGATAGACACTACGAGAGTAAAGTGTCTTGCCCAAGAACTCAGCACAATAATCCTAGCCAGGTCTCAAACCAGGACTGCTTGATCCAGGAGCATGCGCACAAAAACAGCTTCAATGCTTAGTCTCTCTGATCTCAATCAAGGATCTCTCAAACCTTCACACACGCCTTAAAAACAGTTCTACATACAGTCAACTCTCGCCTTGCAGAAACCCCGCTATTGCGGACGCTCGCTATTACAGACAAAATCCAGATCCCTGGCGAAAGCTATAGAGGTTTAACTGGAAATGGCTCCTGCTATTATGGACTCCTGCTATTACAGACTCTCGCTATTACAGAATTACGAACACTTTCGTGGTACCAAATGACAATTTTATTGTTTTGACTCTCAATAAAGCAGACACCACGTACTTCTCATTTAACATAATTATGTAAAATTACAGTCTGCTGTTCATCATTTGTCAAAATACACTTCAAAAGACCTCTGGAATGTTTATTTTCATATCAATTCTTTAACACATTAAAGATTTAAAACAACTTCACAGACATTGTCTATGTTATTTATTCCATGTTAAGGGAACTCTTTATCTCAAACACCGCTATTACGGACTCTCGCTGTTAAGGACAGTAAGCGACGTCCACGAGCGTGTCTGCTATAACAAGAGTTGACTGTATTAGCATGTGCAAACTTTCACAAACACTTAAACTAAGCTAAAAACGAATCAAGAAGTGAGCAGAATTAGAGTTCCACATTACAATTTGTTTTATTCAGCTAAGAGCTATTGAAGTTTAGGAAAGTTGTGAAATAAACTGTTCTAATACGGAACTGCACCATTTCGCTGAAAACAACCCTTCCTTTCCTACCTCACGTTTGAAGAGGGTGTCTTTACATTTCGGTGATAACTTGAATTCGTTTTCCTTAAGGCACTCTAAAACCTGCACAAGAGAAAATTTCAAGAAACATCAGTCAATCATTCAATCAGTCAATCAATCAGTCAGTCAGTCAGTCAATCAGTCAATCGGTCAGTCAGTCAGTCTGTCTGTCTGTTTTGTCTGCCTGTCTGTCCTTTTCTAACACATATCTACTTTGCTTGTAGTTTGTTCTTGCAAAAGACAAAAAAAAAAAGATTGATTGGGTCAATAAAGTATGCAGCAACAGTGACGTTCAGACATGCACAAAACTTACCTTAGCTTGACCATAAGTAACGTCATTGCAAAAGGCTTTTATGTCTTTAATGCACGACGTAAGCATCACAGGATCAAACAGGATATCTTCAGACTAAAAGCAAATAATACATTGCACATTATCAAACATTATTACACTTATCATCATCATCATCATCATTACCAAATTTATGATCAACTTCTTGATGGTAGTTTAAAGACTACATCAGGACAAGTACCCCATACTGTCAGGGCATCGGGCAACAAGAAACTTAGATTATCTCTACTACGCCCTAGATGAGGGATGATAGTTCATAAAAGGGTTTTCTCAACTATTAAATTCATGGGTTTGTCCAATGCAACAACCCTCTCCCACTCTCCGTGAGTAGCAAATATCCGAATTCCTGGACACCCAAAAAATCAAATCTGACTTGCCTCTTCCTCCTTCTCGACTCTCAGTTGCTTACGACATTTATCAGAAATAGAGTGTTCCTTTTCTTGAATAACGGCATCATGGATGGCTTTACTCAAACAAACAATTAGATCATGCCTGAAAGAAACATTCGACACAAACAAGTCAACTCAAGTCGGGCCATCTTTATTTAGGCATGGTAGCCCCATCAGCCATAGGCTGGTATCAAAAGGGGCCCTGCGTAAAATTAAGACTACATGATAAAAAATTCAGAATTTAAACATGGTTAGTATAAGGGTTTGTACACTCACAAAAAAGAAAGAAAAAAGTGTCGAAGCCCAGGATTGTTAAAAACTGGATAGTATATCAGGCAATACAACTGATTTCTCAATTGATTACCCAAAGTTTACTCATTTATGTTATTGATAATCAATTTAAGGTCAAAAGTCGTGGCTTGGGTTCAATTCTCACTTGCTCTTTGAATCCCTGCAGTGCCTTTTAGCATCCTCTTGGCAGGCTTTTTTAAATTGAGGAGAAAACTTAAAATTCTTCATTTCAACCTAACAAGGAAAGAAAAGTAAAAACACTGAACAAATGAAAAATATCAATGGATCATATACACCAACAGTGAAAACCCCACAAGTGGGCACCCTTGAGAACGTAAAGTTTTTGCCTGGAAAAGGTGCAGGCCTACAAGATAAAAATTAACTCTGTTTGTATGCGTTAGGGTTAGGGTTAGCATTTGCTTATGGGAGGCATCTGTAAGTGGACCTTCAACGGTATATAAAATACAGACAGAGAATGTAATGCACAGAAATAAACCTCACAGTCACATTTGCAATTTACGGTGGCTCGTAATGGTTTCCAGCCGTTATACTCTGACACTTTATCAAAGTGATGTTAGAACATTTGTTTGTACAAATGCCCAATCATTGGTGAACAAGTTGTAGTCATCTTTTAGATAAAATAGGTTACCACAGCAATAATAAAACCTGTCAAAAAACACCCTTAATTTTAGCTTTGAGTGTTAATAATTAAAAACAGCTCAGTGAAACCCAGTTCTTATTATAAAATTGCGATGGGCCTGTTAACATGCAACTTTTTGCAAAGTTTAAATTTAAATTTTCGTAAGTTTGAAATGCCTTTGAACCCTACCTACATGTTTTTTTGTTTTTT